GGGGGGGGGGGGGGGGGGGGGGAGCCAATGAATACACAAGGTAGGTTAGGAGCACAGTTATATAGGAGGTGGAGAGAGGGCAGAGGGATACAGGAGGTGGGGATGGAGCAGAGGCAAATACAGTATAAGATAGAGAGAGAGCAAGGGTATGTAGGAGGGTGGGAGGAGGAAGAGGGATACAGGAAGTAAAGGAGGAGCAGGGGGATACAGGAGGTGGGAACTGGGCAGAGGGATAAAGGTGGCTGAAGTAGGGTTGAAACAGATATATACACATAAGGCAGGAAGGATTAGAGCCACACAGGAGACTGGGAACAAGCTTAAGAATGCCAGATACAGGGCAGGAAGAATTCAATCACATTATATATACTTTGCCCAATTTTTAGTGACGCTCAATGATCATTACCAAGTAAAGCACAAAACTGCAAACAAAACATTAAACACTAGAAAAATTCCAAACAAAACAATATTTGACTAAACCGTACAATTTATCTATATAACAAAATTAAAACTCTCTATTTAAAAGAGACGGAAGCAAGGCCAACTCACCTCTCTTCCATCAATTCTCTGATTGATGGCACTGTTGGTCCAGACCCAAGGTGAGTGTAGTATGGTCCTTCATCCTTCTCATTGATTTGCTCTATAAACAGATATAACATATAAGAATTAAATATCAGTATTTGACAAGGACAATATATGGAGGGGGTGCCGTATGTATAATATATGCAGTAGGTGCCATACGGTATAACATACTGGAGCTGTCTGTGAAGGGCAGATTCAGACTTATCTGTGGTATACCGAACACAATACATTTGTGATCTAGACACTGGGAGTAATTAACTAAGGGCATAAAGACTGTTCACCTTGAAGACCCAACCATGTGCAAAACCAGAGATTTTGCTTGCATGTGATTGAAATGAACAATCCCTATCCTTCCTTGCATTTTACCATATTTAGGATTATACGTGTCAATTATGTTTGAGGCCATCATTTGTACTAGTTCTGAAGTTATACTTACCAATTATTCCTAATTTCCAGGAACAAGATTTGTTCTTGGCAAAACTGGCACCTGGAAATGTCCTCAGTTTACAGCGATCAACTATTCAATCACCTATTTCTATTTTGTTTATTACATTTGTAGTGTCTTTATACAACAATTTCAGCTTAATGATAAAAAAAAGCATATTTTAGGGCTAGTATTACTTAGCAAATGGCATCTAAGATACAAAAATGTATTTACATCCCCCTTGAATAATAATGACTACCAAAGAATATTATATCCATATGTACAGTGGCGTAACAATCACCACAGCGACCCAGGCAGCCGCTATGGGGCCCCCGGCCAGGACATCCCCCTGATGCCGTGCGGGCCGCAATGGCATTTCAGGCTGCTGGCTGTCACTGGCGACTGTGAGGAGGAACACGCAGCCATTCACATGTGCAGCGGCGCATACCTCCTCACAGCGAGTCGATGACAACCAGCAGCTTCGGGAGATGGTGGCTGGGCCCGTCGTCGGCAGCGATGGAAGAGGCGGAGCCCAGCGATTGAGGAGGCAGGTCTTAACGATGGGGAGGCGGGTCCGGCAATCGAGGAGGTGGGGCCCAGTGACGGAGGAGGCGGGGCCCGCAAGCGATTGCGGAGGAGGAGGAGGCGGACAGAGGATCGACCAGACAGGTAAGAGGGCTTGACGGCCCACCTGAGACCCAGCAGAGCCCACCATAGAAAGTCTATGGTGGGCTGTTTGGGTTATCAGGTGGACATTTTGCTATGGGGCCCTGTGATTTCTAGTTAAGCCCCTGCATATGTAGTGCTTCTTGATCCTCAAAATATATATTTTGTGTGACTCCGTTCTACCTAAGTCACAAAATGTCCCAGTAAATGATGTAAAAATTTTGAATGCTATGAGAGATCTTGCTTTCCTATACAAGTGTGTTACATGATTATAATCACAATTTATTAACCCCAAATGCATTACAGCAACCAGCATTTTGTCTTATTTGTGCAACTGGACTGCACATTGCATCAACTGAGAGCTAGCTGAAGTGGCTGCCTGTTCCATGGAATCTTGTGACTCCTCTAAGTAGTCTTTGCAGCTCCCCATTTGGTTTTGACATTGGGCAAAGCCATGTATCCGAAGGTGGCTAAGGTGAAGAAAATAGTGTTTTACTTTCGTGTTGCCCCCTCATGCCCCATGGCCTCCGTAACAAGAGCCTTGTGCTAAATTTGCTCTGGCAACGCATAATTGATTTCCTCCTCTGGAATCTACAGAATTTTCTTAATGAGTTATTGATCATGGATGTTTCTCAGCATGTTGTCCTTGACTGTATCCCATTCAGAGTCAGAGATTTATATCCTTTTTAATTCTACAGTTTAGTTAAGTGCTCAGTGAAAGCATGATGTAAGGAGTTATAAAATACAGAGGTTATCCTTATTTTCAGGTACCCCCTAGGCCCCATTCACACAGGCTCATCAGGAAGGGATCTGTGCACGGATCTTGTCCTGGCTGGAGTGGTACAGATTAGATGTCATCGATGTGTGTCTGTGTACATCAGATTTTCCCCGATCCAGAACAATCAAGTGCGGCAAATTGGATCTCTCGCTTTTTTTTTTTCCAGACCTGGTCGGAGTCGGGGGTAACCTGGTGTAAATGGACGCCCGCCCGTTTACACATGGTTGCCCATAGACTAGCATTGGGCATCTGTTTGGGTCTACCTGAAAAACTGACAGGCAGACTCAGGTGTCCCAAGGCGTGGTGTCACCCGGAGCAGCCAACGGGTGACACCATGGCGTCATCCTGCACGTGCAGCACGACGTCATGCACTGTTACCTGCCAGCGTGCATCTTTGAAATGAACGCCGGTGGTGGCAAAGAGAGGAGGGAATGTTCACCTGGCGGGATAAGGTATGCCAGCGGGTCCCCTCCTCTCTTAAACAACTGTCGGGCTCTCAGGTCCATGACCGAGTGCGGACTTTATAGAGGCGGTGACACCAAAATGACTGCCAGTCATTTTGGTGTCACTCGGTTGCGGGCCAGCCCCCCCCCCTTCCCTAGTGACCCGATCAGACTGCCCATGTAAAAGGGGCCTTAGTGTTTGTGCCAAAACCTCAGGTTCCCCACTTAGGAGTGCCATGCTTTCATTATATTCATTGGTCTCAGCTATTATGCTTTATGAACTGAAATCCTTTTTTTTTTTACATCTTTGCTTGTGAAAATGCACTTCATTCTTTTCAGCCTCCATTTTGATGGAATTTGCTGTTGATACATATGTTGTATTTTATACACGGTATACATGTTCTTATATTTACATACACATTCTGATTGCAGGTTCCTGGGTAGCCAATCTCCTTTCTAGACTACATATGAGTAGAGAATCTTTGTTAGAGAAACAAGCTCCTGGCTAAAATAACACTGGTGTGAAAATGTACACAGGAATAGCTGAAGCTGCTGAATATGTAAGTGGGGGTTCAACTTCTTACAGCGTGTGTCTGTAGAATGCAGGTGAGGGTGGAGCTCCTTTGTTTGAAGAAGTCCCTCAACTTCCCAGAACTTTGTGGTAAAGCCTATGTGAAGAATTGTCATAAGTGGTATATAGAGACAGAGTATTCAAATATGCCGATGTAAGAGGAATTCTTGTCAATGACGATCCCACCAGATCTTGGGTAAAGTTGAAGACTGGGTTGCCATATAATCCAACCAGTAGTATAAAGGCTGCACTCCCAAAATGAATCTTTTCAATTAAAATTGATGTAAACCCTTACCGAATGACGTTTAATTTGTTCATTTTGACCTTTTTCAACCTTTGTTGCATCTCAGTGCTGCTGATATCCTGCAGGCACTTTCTACACGCACTTGAGGTAATTGCATGGAATTTGTCAGGGAAGACTTCCTGATGACAACAGTGGATCATGTCTTTGTAATGCGTCTCAAAATGGCCACTTGTCTCCATTAGGAAGCCAGTGTAACAAGGTGGCAATGTAGGAGCACAATGGGAGAGAGGGACAGAATAAGGTCACCCAATACCAGTAAGTGTATGCACAAGGACCTTTATGTTAGGCTCACCAGGTATTACTAAATGAAAGCTGCTGTGACTTGAAATGACATTGGCATGCTATCTTATACTGTATAATATTTAGGCTGGCCAAGCAAGAGAAATGACTCGAATCCTCCATCCACGCAAAGAGCTTGGATAGAGACATTTCCACTGCTGGCGATTATATTCTGATAGCCGGCATCCATGGCTGTTAGAATGCCATGAACAATGACTGCATAGTACTGGCTGCAGTCACTGCCAGCCAACAGTTTTTCACTTGGCTCCTTAAAAAGTCGACATTTGTCAAGCCGGGTGAACTACCGGCAGGGCCACCCATGCATCACATTTTGGCCGAATTAGCAGTGAATGGCCAAAATTCAATCTGTGCATGGCCAGCATTGGTGATTATGTTTATATATTTTTCAATTTATCATCCAAGTGAAACAGAGAACCCGCAGAGCCTCTGACACGTTTCATGTGTGAACGCTTAGTCATACGCATCAGAGACTCTGAGGGTGCCTTTTTCACTCTAGGATTTATAATAAATATATTTGAAGACCAGACCTGGGAAGGCAGCTTCTCTTCTTTGCTTGGACTGGCTTTGCCTGATAAGTCTCTGTGGGCACCCTGCAGCTATGCTCTGATGTTCCTGCTGCTATGAGCGGCTTGCACACTGTATATTGTAGGTTGTCTTATAAATAAGTAGACACGACGACTCTCATGGGACATTGCAGCCAATATCCCTAAAGACTAGGGAACAATATCTCCCACCATTAGGTGTAGAAAACCTGCTGAAAACTTGAAGACCGTTGCCTGTCACAATGTTCCTATAGCTGTATTATTCCACATGACACCTCTGCAAAAAGGAAAGCCCCAAGAGATGTTCGGCAGTATGGTAGCCGAAAATGTGCTGTTACAACTCCTGTTCGTGTCACTGTTTTATTGGGTGATGGATCGCAAACACCTTGGCTAAAGACCGTGTTAAAAGTGCACACTCAATATGGGTTTTTGTTTTTTTGCTTCTGATCTACATCTGTGAAAGAATTAGGAAATAAACACTTGAGTCTTTGAAAATGGTCCCTATGCATCCTTTGTGTTAATTGCTGAATTTTATGTTTTCTTTACCTTCCTCAGTTGAAAGTAGGTACGTTGGCAACCTTAGTGTATGTCAGCAAATTTATATAGTAATAGTTTGTACCTGGAATCGTTTTTTCTCACAGTCTGACCCACTCCCTGACCTTCAGGTTCTGTATTATTTATTCCACTACTTTGAAAGAAAGACGGTAAGGTATAACTATCCCATTTTAGAACCTGTGTTGCAATAAATAGGATGAGGAATACTAGAATACAGATAAAAAGATGTGCCATAATTAAGGTTTCATAATAAGGAATGGTAGGGGCTCCTGTTTTTTTTCCTTTCTTGTAAGGCCGATCACAATGATGAATGGTACAGTAGAACAGCACTGCTGATATATCGCATGCTGATCTCCCTTGACTGCTGGAAGAATGTCTTACACAGAGCAGATGTCTTTACTGCAGCATTCCTGGGAAGAAATCCGGTCACGGATGATTTTACACACACAGTCACACCCTTCATGCAGCAGCATTA